TCTTAAGACTGAGCCCTGAGGTACCCCAATTGTATCATTAATCCAGCTTGACTGAACTCCATTTGTAACAAGTCTCTGCTTTCTTCCATCCAGCCACTCTTCTATACAATTTACTAACTTATCCCCCACACCTATAAAGATATATTTTTTTCAAGCCTTTTATGTCTTTCTGAAAATCCAGATAAACCAAATCTATACCCTTAGTGTCATCTACATAAGCAGTGACCTTCTCAAAGAATGTCAAAATTAGAAATGTTTTTGTTTATAATCTTTAAGTAAGATATTAACATTTAAAACTAACAAATATTTTAATTAATAATCTTTAAGTAAGATATTAGCATTTAAAACTAACAAATATTTTAATTAATAATTTTTAAGTAAGGTATTAACATGTAAAACCAACAAATATTTTAATTAATGATTTTTATGTAAGGTATTTATAGTTAAAAACTAACAAATATTTTAATTAATAATTTTTAAGTAAGGTATTAACATTTAAAACCAACAAATATTTTAATTAATAATTTGTAAGTAAGATATTTACATTTAAAACCAACAAATATTTTAATTAATAATTTTTAAGTAAGGTATTTATAGTTCAAAACTATAAAATGTTTTTGTTTGTATTTATATTAAGAAATGAGAAAACCTTTGACACGACCTGTGTGTTCAGTTACAGGTATGCTACTAAAGAAATCCAAGTACAAATCACAAGGGTCTATCTCCTAATTAAGTATTATTTTTCTACCATAGTTCCTAGTTTTATTTCACTGGCTGTTGAATCCTGTCAGATGTAAAAAAACAAAAATGTAATTTCAGGAGGTATCGTAACAATGGAAGATTTACGGAGTTATGAAGCAAAAGTGAAAGATGCCATTCCCATTCAGTTAAAAGATGGAGAAACATTATATTCAGTCCCACCACCAGGATGTGGAACATTGGTTGGGTTTATTCTGAACATCCTAGCTGGTTTCAACATCACTAACAAGGACGTGGATGACGTGAAGAGCAGTGTTCTCACATATCACCGGATGGTGGAAGCATTTAAATACGCATTTGCAAAAAGAACCTATTTAGGGGACGAGGATTTTGTTAACGTTACAAAGGTATAACTTGGTGAATGAAACCTACTTTACCAAACACCGTAACATAACGTTACAAAGGTATAACTTGGTGAATGAAACCTACTTTACCAAACACCGTAACATAACGTTACAAAGGTATAACTTAGTGAATGAAACCTACTTTACCAAACACCGTAACATAACGTTACAAAGGTATAACTTGGTGAATGAAACCTAATTTACCAAACACCGTAACATATCTTTAGAGTATTTGTATTTCAGATATTACTCTTGTTTTATTCTATATATGTATCGACTAAATGATCTGAAGTAGGAGATTTAAAAGTTTTGTGTATACTTGATTAAGAGAACATACATTCATTTCATAGTACAAAGTTAGCCAGATTTTGTGTATACTTGATTAAGAGAACATACATTCATTTCATAGTACAAAGTTAGCCAGATTTTGTGTTTACTTGATTAAGAGAACATACATTCATTTGATAGTACAAAGTTAGCCAGATTTTGTGTATACTTGATTAAGAGAACATACATTCATTTGATAGTACAAAGTTAGCCAGATTTTGTGTATACTTGATTAA